CCCCCCTCCCCCCCCCCCCCTCTCCTAACATCCCTTGTTCCTAATTATCGTGAATCCAATTAAATTAAATCAATCAATATGCAAATGGATACACCGTTTACTCCTGAGATTTGAGGACTTGCTAATAATTCATATTTTAATTTCTCATGAAATGATTCCTAGAATTTTAATCGAAAGTTCATAATTAACTTCAATCAGACAACATTAGAATTTTCACTAGATTGGACCAAAATATAAATTTCCCATTAAATGGCTTACTTTCTCTCTAATCCTATTCGCTATTTCTTTTTAAATTTAAAGATTTGAGCACGCGCACACACAGTAAACCCTCTAGTAAATAAAAGGTAATTATTTTGATCTTAGATTTAGTGGCTGAAATTATTTAATAAAGTTAATGTAACTAAGTCATTGCGCTTTCAAATGGATGGGTTGAATTAACGAGGGACCTGTTAGCAACACCATAAAAATTTAACTATCCTAAGTATCTAAAGTAAATTACCTGAACGCAAAAATAGAAATGCTTTTAAGTTATATGTTGAAGAAATTTATTTCGAATTCATCGGCTATTAGTTCGATAGCAAACCTGAAAAAAAACTGTTAATTTATCTTAGTTGATGTCATTACTCTGAAGAAAATTATACAGAAAGTTATTATTGAATCTATCAAAATTTTAAAAAGGAGTGGTTTGAGGATTCCTTGTACTACTGAATTTCAAAATGGGTCTAGTGTGAGTTCCGCCTTGTCACTCAAAGTGGAATTGATCATTAGTTGATGAATCGTCAATTTCCCACTGTCTGATAAATAATGTTTGTTTCTTTTAAGTTCAGTAGAAAGCGTATTCGGCTCAGTTTTGACAGCGACTCCAAGATTATCCTCTGGGTGAACATTTCGCTGGTCACATTTCATTACATTTAATAGAGGCTTTATAGATCGAATATGTAAATGTCATTTTGCCCTGAAAATGCGATTTTAATAATAATAATAATTGGTATTATTTTTGCTAATAATAAATAAAATTATTTAGTAGTGAAATCCTTTTACTAAAATTTCTAGTCCAAAATAGTAAAATTTCATGAATCATCTTTTGGATTCCAGCAAATGTTTTTTCCATGCTGTTAGGTTTTTATTGATCGGGTTTTTAATCACCAAGGCTCGGTCTGACCGTTTCAGTCATTTTTTTTCTCTTCACGTTTAAGAAAGCAAAATGATCTTACAGGAGATAGTCAACAACTCAGAAGGGTTGAGACTGGGAAAAATAATTGTATGAATTAGCTGAACTCAATAGGCTGTGTTCGCTCATTGAAGATTTGCCTTATGTGGCATTTGTTTCACCCTATTGTTAAATGACACTTCCAATCGAGATGATTAGAAGAATGGCATGATTCTGTCTGACTCAACATTTTCATATCCCTTTCCAATCACCCTCTTATATTCTACTCAGATATGACTGCTACCTACACCGTGCAATCCTTCGACAACCTCGACGCCATCCACGCAGATGTGCTGTGCCCTTATCGACTTGAGAAAATGACTGGCGTTCAACCAACTGGAATCCTAATGCAAGCACCTTCTTCCAGCCTCCTCACCATGGATCCACGAATAGCATCTTCCGGCATGATAGAAGAGTCCGTGGACAACTCTGAATCATCTCTTCAAAGGAAAAAGATGTATTCCATGGAGAGTGCTCCGAGAATAATGAATTCAACCTCCTATACTTTGGCTGGAAAACAGCCGGTCATTTGCAGCCCTGTTGGAACACTTAGCGGCACAGTTTCACGTGAGTGAATAGAACGTCTTTTTTATCATTACTTTCTAAACTTTCGTCCATCAGCTAGTTCACACAATGTCTGAAGTAAATCATCAGTCATATATGTTAACCGAAGTGATTAGCACTTGGGGGTTGGGCAAAAGCCTACGTGCAGACAGCACAATTTCCACCTCTCATTCCTTGCCTTCGTGTCTATGCCACGGAGGTCACAACTTTTTTCTTAACGAAATACCGAAACCAGACGAATTTCTCAAGGTTTTTGTCCGCTTGGTAAAGACAGACATCTGTTCAGTGTCTCCCAGCCAACTTAATTGTAAATTTGATCGCATTTTAGATAAGGAGAATTTATTATTTTTTTCAATTCTTAAGTCTAACCTCAACAACCTCGGAATAAAAGTCGGGTTAGGGAAAATAGGAAAAAACTTAATTGTAGTCGCTGAAATGTGCGAATGTACTCGTAAAATATGCATTTAAGATAATTTTTGAGGAAGAATTTTCGAGGAGTATTTTCTTTTTGATTAAAGCAGCCTCAAATAATGTCAAATATCACTTTTATCCGTATGTCTCTGGTGATTTGACGAAAAGGCGACTTGTTTTTCACAATAACTAGTTGACAAAGAACATTTTTATATCAAATGGCAGGCGTTTTGATGGTCATCATTAGCCCTTTAGTTGACTTCAAGCTTCACAGAGGGAAGGAACATCAAAGTGAAAAAAAGTCGAGAGTGGGGGGGGGGGGGGGGGGGGGGTAACAGAAGAGTGTTTCAAAGACGAAGGTAGAAAAAGATGAGGTGAGTACTGGGAAGTAGTCGAATATGACATACAGTGGGGTCGCGGTAGTTTAAAGTCGGAAGTCAACTTCCGTTTAATAAACTTTTTTGCCGTATGAGCATACGTTGCCCAGTGTGCACCATGTGGAGGTGAGTCTATCGTACACCCCTTGACAAAGAACAAAATTACACTCAAACAAAGCGAGAAGTCGAAAAGCGGAAAACTGTCAAGACATTTTCTACTTTTTAAAACATGTTTCCATCATTAATTTTTAAGTCAAATCTCAAGGTGTTTAAATAACCTCCCTTAGTTCAAATCACAGAAAGTTTGGGAGGATAAAGAAGTTTCTATTTAACCCTTTAACGCCCTACAGGACCGAACGCGGTCCCCTTTCAAAATAAGCTCAAATGGTACTAGACTCGTAACAGAAGACGCTATTGGCGTTTGAACATATTCACTACGTGTCGATATTCTTCGCCTGATACACCACCAAACTCATCACATCGGCGGCATCAGTCTGCTGTGAGACACGAGTGCATTTTTCAAAAATATCGTTAATCGTAAAAGGGTTAATGCATAAATCACCTTATTGCCACCAATAATCTCCGTTTACCTTTCTACTTCATAAATTAAAAAAGAATTGTAACTTTAATGCAACTCTTCATTGAGGCTATTAATATATATTTTAGTCCTTGAGATTTGAGTTTGCCTACTAGTATCCATTTTACATTTCGAATACTATGCCTATCAAAATAACAGTTAGATTAGCAAGAACATTCAGCTCTGCCATAACTAAATCATTCTAACATGTCTTACTAAAAGAGAGTTAGTAGCTATGGTTTATTGATAACTTTATAACCACCTTTTATAGATTATCATTATATATCTCTATAATTTTAGCCCAAACATTGCCTCGGAATCACCCTAAAGGGGCAGGTTATGTAGCTTTATCTCCAACCACCGTCGCCTACACCACGGAAGGTACGCCCACTCCTGATGGTCTATTTTTCGGTGGAGGAAAATGCTTGGCTTTCAATAAGCAAATGCCAATACCCAACGGTGTCTCGCAACCACCAACCGCAACTTCACCTTATTTAATTAAATTTGCAAAGCCCACAGGATACTTACTGGATTCTGATGGCTCTAGGACCACGACTTATACTCCGTTGAACTTCTCTATGTCTGGGAATGACCAAAATCAACAGTGTCATACCCAGCTGCAGCAACAGGTGCAACATGGCCAAGGTGATGACTCAAGCTCGACCAATCAAGAATCGAGTTTTGTGTGAATAGGAGTCTGGTTATCGTGTACACAGCTTTGTCCTCCCCTCTCTCGTTCCCCGAACCCCCCCCCCCCCCACCACTTTTCAAAAACAGTTATTGTTTGATTGTAGAGAATGACACTTGGAACCCACCTCAAATTTTATGGAAATACATTCCTCTATATGAAATCAGTTTGAAATGAACTTATACCACTTTTCTGATGACTAGCAGATATGGAGCTTCTAGCTTAGAAAGAAAATTCCAACTACCTTTACAATTCTATGCAGTTTCGTGTTGGCTTGTGATTTTAGTGATGTTGAAAAGTGCAAGGTATGGAATATAGATAATTCTACTGCTATATTCTTTAGTTATAAACTAATTATCCAACGTTTTTGGTAGGCAAGCTTAATATCCATATTCTCAGATTCGGTTAGTCTGTAAAAACTAAAAAAAAGTGCAATTGCATTTGGTCTTCGAGAATACTGTAAATTAATGCCTACTAATAGAGAGAAGTAGTATTTGAATATATTAAAAAAAAGATCTTTAAGTGAGAATCTGAAAGCCGATGAATATAAACAGCCTAAACATTGAGAGTATTGCAAACAAATATAAACTCAATAAAAAACGGTTGGACACATAAATGCTGAGAGTCAACTTTAACCTAAAGAGGACAAGATTGGACCCATGAAAACATACGATAACAGCAATACAGTCACATAAATGCACCATTAGTCTTCATCAATCAAAAATAAAGAGCCAAAGTATGGAATAAAATGAAGAAATGGGACAGCTAACAGTAAATCAGAAAAATAAAAATACTTAAGAAACAGGAGAAGCCCAAATCATTATAAAAAAGACCAAGAATATATCATAACATTAGCGGACGGAATAGACAAAGGACATGAAACAACCCAATTGATACTGTAAATTATAAAAAGAACAAACCAATATAAGAAAACAACTTTACAATTTCGCAATTAAAACTATCTACAATGCAATGTTGGAAATCTAGTCCACGTCTTTTCGTTGTTTTTGTCTTGTTTCGTGTAGTTGCTGAAGATACTCCTGTGCAGTCTGCTCCCAAGGAAACTTACAAGCGGAAAGATCCTTCAGATTTGCAACGATTTCGGAAGGAGACAGCAGGGGCTCTGGTAAATCAGGAGTATCGTAGGGTGACCACATTCCTTGAATTGAAGGGAGATGACTGGACCGGGGTTTATAAATCGGAACAATGTTTTCACCGGATCGGTGAATCATAAATTGAAGCCAATTAGCTATCTCTTCTGATGTCATCTTTGCCATGCGCAGATATTGCCAATTACCGTTTACTAAATTAAAGAATGTAAGTAGAGACAACAGCAAGATTAAGAAAATGGCTAGAATATAGACTCACAGTATTCAGCAACAAGAAGTGGTGCTCTCATTCTACGAGGTTTTACATAAAATACAACTGATGGGTTAGCCCGAGCAAAATTGACGATTTCACTTTCAATGAAATCACGAACGCCAAGGCTGTCGGGACGTGCTTTACAGAATTTAAAAGTTACTCTCTTTAACTGACAAACGTATCGTCCAATTCCTAATGATAGAGGAACTTTAAGAATTGATCTGGGCAAAACGTTTCCGGACATAAGGATAGTATGACTCTACAGATTAAAAATTGATGATGTGTTGGCTCAATGATGCAGGAAAAGGACGAAATAATCTAACCAAAATTAATGATAGCATATGTAGAAATATAAAATGATTTAATTGAAATAAAACTGAATAAATATGTAATTTGTTCATATGGAATGTCGAGTTTTTATACTTTATTACAATAAAATTAGTCCTAGTCAAGAGTAGGTACCGGGAGATAGCACAATTGGATCAATTGAAATTTAATAAATTTCCTTAAAATTTATTTTGGAAATACGTAATAGGCGTATGTATTATTTTTATAAGACTTGTTCCATTATATTCTGTTTATAATAGGCCACCAAGCAGTGACAACTTCGAACTATTTCTTTTTGCGGAAGCGATGGTTGGTTTGCTTATGTGTTTTGCTTAATGTTCTTATTTCATTTACTTGAATTTCCATTTGTTTGAGCTGCTTATAATTACAATTACTTTTCATGCTAAATCGTATTGAAATTGTTTAGTATGAAACAGTTTTTTTGTTTCCTAATGTTGTTTGGGCTTTTAGTATTTCCCTTTGCTCATAATGTTGTATTTTTCGCAGTTATTTTCTTAATTTTTTTCTTGCTTTGCGACAGACTGCAAAACCCTATTTAAACGCAGTTCGTGCTACTCTGACAGCTGCTCTTTGTCTCGAAAATTTCCCCTCTCAAGTTGTTGAGCGCCACAACAAACCTGAAGTAGAAGTTCAGACCTCCAAAGAACTCTTGCTCAACCCCGTCATTGTTAGCAGAAATGAGCGTGAGCGTGTTCTCATTGAGGGCTCAATTAATTCCGTTCGTGTAAGTATAGCCATCAAGCAATCGGACGAAATAGACCGCATTATTTGTCACAAATTCATGCGCTTTATAATGATGCGTGCTGAAGAATTTGTCATCCTCAGACGGAAGCCTATACCGGTAAGCTTGGCAGATACTTTTGATTGCGTATTCTTGTGTTGCTTCATTTTTCATGCCCTTATGGCAGTGAAATCAGTTATGCTCTTTATAATGCCTTCCTGCAGCAATACGCATTGGGTCTTAGTTTATTTTATAAGCTTTGGACTTTGCGATTGTTTGATTTGCTATTTTGGTTGTTACGTGATCAACAGTTTTAATCGCCCTTTGTGCTATCCAAACAAACTGACTTATTTAGCCTCGGTATATTGCTTTGACCATTGAAGTGCTTGCTCTTGCATACATCGAATTAATTTTTTTCTATTCCTGAGTTTATATTTTAGCTTGAAGTAAAGTTTGATTTATAATTTGTACCAAATAAAAGTATCAAGCATTTAGTATGGCTGTATAATCGTATATAATTTCGAGTTGTCGCATTGTTTTAACATTTACTGTCTGCGCTAATTGAGGTTGACAAATGTCCTGCTACATTTTATAATGAGTTTAAAAGTTACTCCTGGTTACCACACATCTAGCAAATTCACGTGTTATAATCTGATTTCGCTATCAATCTAATCTTTGCTTTCTCGAAGGGAAGATGAGGTAAATGACTCAACAAAATAGCAAAAATGTCTAAAAACGTGAAATGGTTTAGGAGCTCTGCGTAAGGAACTTGTGTAGTGCCTTTTATAACCGTCTTAATCTTATCATTTTTCATTTCAGGGCTACGATATTACCTTCCTTATAACTAATTTCCATACGGAGAAGATGTTAAAGAATAAGCTTGTAGACTTTATAATTACTTTCATGGAGGAAATCGATAAAGAACTCTCTGAAATGCGTCTGGCAGTGAATTCAAGAGGTCGTCTTTGCGCAGAGGAGTTCCTTAAAGCCTTTGACTAGGTTCAAACAATCTTGAATATCTTGTCTTCTCATCTTCTCCCACCTCTTCGAAAGTTCCTATTATTCGCCTATATTTTCACACATTTTACTGTCCTCATTTGTCTTCTCTGTTTATTTGCTACATGTTTTGGCACTCGAATATTGATACTTTGGAGAAAGACGATTGAATGTAACATTTTTCTTATAATAAACGCGACGTTTGATATGAAGTTGCCATAAACTCAGAGGAAAGGCACTGTTAAGATATTGTTGCATATGTTTTTGTCAGGTTTCTCAATAATTGGTGTAGGACCTCTTAAAGTCGAGGTGGATGAACCTCTATCAGAGTTAAAAGGCTCGATAGGAATGATGCATTGAATTAGCTGAGGGCTTATTGCTAAATAGGAGTGGAAGATAAAGCATGACTTTGCAAACGATATCCAAAATGAATTACAATATAGCATACTAAGGTTGACTGGAAATGGGTTTCGTTTAGTCAACTAGAATTCAAAAGAAAAGTGAAAGCAAATTGAAGTGTTATTCCGAAATATGGGAATTTGGGAACTTATTTTTTAAATAGGTCCTGACGAATGCTGAGTGTTTGTAACGCAGTGATTGAATTATTAGTAAGCTAGTGGGTTTGAGAACTACCGGTATAAATCGTGTAAGAGGATTAGCAAGCTTTGAATGAAAAATTAGCAAACTAGAATAGTCGTTGGTGGAGAACATTATAAACGTTATCATGCATGTTTTTAGATCTTATTCAAAAGTTTTGATGGGTTTCTTAGCCTCCCAGACCATTCCGGCGCAATAGAAACCTGACATTTTATTAGCTGTGGCCCCGGATCACGTAGAGACAACAAAATGTGTATAAAAGGCATATAATCACTTTGATTGCAACATGATAATAAATAAAGTCAGTGCAAAGAAATTATTGCGTTGTTGAAAAGTTAATATAAATTTATTTGGACCGAAATGGGAACGTGAAATACTTGAATTGATATTTTCGTGATCAATTCTAAATACTGATATAGCTAAAGGCGAGCGCATAAGTTCGACGCATTTTCACACTTTTAAAATTTATAATTTTAAAGTGAGTTACTTTTGGCTCTAATATTGCACATGGTTAATAATATGGTTGCGATTATAAGGTAATCCTTCAGAAAAATGATTGATATTTTAAATGCTGTAATTATAAGGCATTATATTAACTTTAATTACAAGATAGTAACAGAATTGTTCATGTTCGATACATTATAAATCGAATTATCACTTCACTTAACTGATATTAATTATAATTTTTATATAATGCATTATGCATATAGGTAACCGTATTACTAAATATATTATGTTATATAAATATATACATGAAATAAATTGTGATATGAAAATAACAACCCTTTTGAATTAGTGGAAAAAAAATATGTATGAATTTGAACAATATGTGTTTAAGTTTATTAAGAAAAAATAATTTTTACCTTGACTAAACTTATAAAAACTTCATTTTCGCGATATTTCATGTGGTATGCACATAGTTTTTAAACTATCAATTCGGAAAATTTTGATTTACGACTAAAAAATAATCTTGTGTTCCCCTTTTTAGTAAATCATTTTTGATGAAAAATTGCAATGCAACAACCTCGTAAAGTTCCAAATTTACCCATTTGGTTGCCCATAATTCGTGCAAGTGCGTTGGGTTGGGTACCGCTTTCAAGAAATCCTCTGCCTAAGTTTCCTGCAGACGATCCGATCGATCTCTCTACTTCAACTTCCTACTTTAATTCTAAACTAAGCATTAATGTTTCTGGCGTTAAATTTGAAATCCCCCGCTATTTTGTAGACCAGCATCCCAACACCCTCCTTGGCTCAACTGAACGTGAATACTTTTACGACGAGGAGAATAAGGAATATTATTTTGACCGTGATCCAACCATCTTTCGATATATTGTTGATTATTATCGTCATGGTTTTCTCCATTTTCCTAGGGCAGATTGTTTTCTAGCTTATGAAAATGAAATGCACTTCTTTCGAATATCCACAGAATCCATGGGAGATTGTTGTTATGAATACTTCCAAGACTGTCGAAGAGAACACTCAGAACGACTTAGAGAAGGAAGGTCGGGAGACGAATTAAAGACTGTCGGGCCGACTACATTTAGGCAAAAATTGTGGGCATCATTTGAGAATCCCGACAATTCTACTTTCTCCCTTGTAATATACTATGTCACCGGATTTTTCATCGCAGTTTCTGTGTTGGCAAATATTATTGAAACCATACCTTTTCCCGAATCCTCCCCAGAGGTCGGTCGAAAATCCATCGGTGATGTCTACTCAAATGCATTTTTCTGTTTGGATTCAGCTTGCGTGCTCATTTTCACAGTAGAATATTTGGCTCGACTCTATTCCGCACCTCGTCGATGGCACTTTTTCCGGTCTGTCATGAGCCTCATTGATGTGGTTGCAATTCTTCCCTTCTACATCGCACTTATGCTTCCAAATAAAAAGGTGAGACTGCTATCTTTGTCTTGTGTCCATTTCATTTTTATTTTCCCATTTAATACGATAGTAAACTCAAAACTATTCATTAATTAGGACTTAAACAGAGCAAAAATACCGTTTTAATACTTTATACGAATAAATAAATGAACAAACACTCATTTTTTTCTAAAAAAGGTATACTTATTTAAAACATGCGTGTACGAAGAAAGTAAATTGCCTTCGGAAAAATATATGTCTTGATTTGATTTTTTTTAATAAAATAGTTAGCTATCCTAAAAACTGTGATAACGAGGTTCTCAAACATGCTAAACGATCTGATTTAATTTTATTTGACTATATTTGTGACAATATATTATCAAATTTACTGTTGAATTTTTCACTTAGCTTGTATTATTATTTTTTCGAATATGTAGTGTACTTTTGTCCAATAGGCGGGGGTAAAAATAACGAATGCGTACAATTTTATGCAGCTATACAACCCCCCTCTCTCCTAAATAGAATGCAAGTTAATTTAAATTATATAATGCTCCCTTTCTAGGAGTTATTCAATTCACTCTCCCAGGGGATAGGAAAAAAACGTATTTTCACTCATAAAAATAATTTTTGTGTGTTTCCATTAAATGTGATGAATGTATTTAAGACTAAAAGCGATGCCTCTATCAGAGCTGTAACGATTCAAAATGGGAATGGATTGGAAATCTACTTTTCAAGTGGTTTATGAAAATGCTAAATAGCCCGAAATTAAGAAAAGAGTACAATTTGCAATGCTTATTAAGGCGTTATTTGCCAATTTTATCAAAAAAAGAAGTGATTTATTTGTTAAAATCGAGATTTTTTGAAATTATGAAATGTCTAGATATTTAATAATAAAATATAACAACCAGTTGTTAATATTAATTTGTTTTTAATATTTTTTTATGCAGTTATCAATCAGTTGCGATTTTAACCATAGAAAATCAGTAAAAATCTTCCAACACGGAAGTCGATTAATACGTCTTCTATCTTAACTTATCTTTTAGTGTTTTATTGTGCCCATTACAGGATTCGAGTCATATTCTTTTTTTGTAAACTCAACAACCTTTTTATCTAATGTTTTGCCACTCTAATACCCACTTTCTTAGAGGGAAGAACAATTGGGGAAATGCCATGTAAAACAAGATCTGATAGGATCTCAAATGGACCTTTTATCGCTAATTCTACTCAGCCGTTCAGCACTTCATTAGTATTCCTTTTATGTTTGAATCTTTTTGATTATGGTTCTATCCACTATCTTCACTTGAAACTATTGTGTTTTTAGGAGAAGAAAAAGGGTTCGCAATGTTTAATTGATCATATTCTTAATCCGTTTCCGTACATTTGAAAATGTCTTTCACTGATAGTGCAAATTTTTTCGTCAATAGCTTGATACTGTGGTCTTCACAAAATGTCACTTAAATCCACACACTTTTCGGAGTTTACAGAGAAAATTTTCCCCTAAAGCCACAGGGAGATTGTCGCAATAGAAAATATTTTTTATTCAGAATTTAATTTTTATATGACTCGTTCGAAACCTCGAGCTATAATTGCCAAAGGGTAAATTTGGACAGGAACTTGTAGTGATGTTCTAAATTTGAGTTATATTGAATAAAAGCGATTCCATTGTTATTTTGAGAAATTGAATTAAGTTGTGACTAGTTCAAGATATATTCTCATTAAATTTTAGTTGCATTTTAGCACTATTTTCTTTAATTGGCTTATTTTTATATAAATTGGAAACTTTAGTTATTCTTTCGTCGATCCAATGGACAGAGTGAGTTTATTAGTTTAATTTAATATAATTAATGAAATCGAAAGTTGAGTGCTTTAATTTAATTTAAAATGTAACTTCTTAGGGGTTTTGCCTTGAATTTTCTCGTGAAATTTTACCTAATCCTCCACCCTAACACTAAACGTCAACCCAAACGCAAGTTTCGCCTCAGATACGCCTTTATTTCATTAAAAATTATTTTTTTCCTACAAATCGTAAGTATTAAAAGGTTGTAGAAATTATTTATCATTCATTCGCATTTTTAATAAAATTTTTTGATTTAATTTAGCTAAAATATTTTCAGGAGGTCAACTAAATTAAATGATAATGAGCTAAATGCGGAGTTTTCTTTAAATTATAGGCCATTAAGAAGCGCATGTTTTTTAAAAGCTTAATTTTAGGTTTATAAATGAGACTATTTCAGGTTTTCTCAACAATGATTTACGGCTTATTTTTTGCACAATAGCAGCAAACAAGTAATGAAATTTCGAAAAAAAACCGCGGAGGGCCAAATTGGGAAGCCGTCATTTTATTCAGGAGTAAATGTGTTCTAAAAACTCGTTGAAGTAGGTTGTTTGAATGGGGCGATAATTTATCGACCACACAGATAGAAACAAATGTTCACAAAGTAGTCCATTTGTTTTGTGAGGCAACCGATACAATTTTTAAATCCTCTTTATCTTATTATTTTCCTCCTAAAATTACCATAAAAAATCCTGATCTCACTAAGACCACAGGTAGGGTAAACCCTAAAATTTTTCCAAATTAACGTTCATAAAATTTTGTAAATTTTCGTAACTTTGCTTTAGCAGTCTTAAAATACAATGAAATGAACTGTGTCATGAAAGCTCTCATTTTAAATTAATCCAACAAAACTCTCCTTTTTATGCTTCATAACACAATGCAAATTTTTCTTTTTCACAATTTCTATACAAGTACGTTACTATCTAAATGAATTCGATCGTTAATTGTCACAGGAGAAACCTTTATAAGGCAGCGGTAAAGTCGCTCGAATTCTCAATATAGTATGTTCGAAACGGCCACGGTTTTAAAGCCCCATAAAACATGCAATTACTTTTGCCAAGAAAGGCTTTCAAAGCCTATTGACAAAAAATGTAACCTGGCTTAATCGTCATGGTGTCCGTGGATAGGGACAACGGAAAGAATCATCCCACGGAAGCAACAGAGCCTGTATGAGCTATCGCCCTTCAAACTTCTTTTATTCCTTAGGAGGCAAATAAAGTGAAGAAAGGATGGTGGCCGTTGATTGGCGAACATTGTGGAGAAATTTGTGAAACCCAAATCAGCGAGATAGTCTTGTGTGGGTGCAGAAATACTGAGGAAATGGATGCGTGTTGCATGCATGACTAGATACTCGCAATGTGAAAAAATCAGCATTAAGTAAAATGGAGACATTCAGGAAGAAATGAACAGATTAGTGGTGTTTATGTAATGCCTTGAAGCGCTTCAAATGCATATTGGTCTAGTGCGGCTGAAGCAGTCCACTGATGGTTTGGGGGTGAGTATTGGCAACAGTGATGTACTCAATGTACCGGTTTGACTATGCGTGACTGGGCTCGTTAATTCCTTATTTTTAATCTCCTAGTCAACTCAAATGGTGGCTTAGTTGGTCATAGTCACCACGTTACTTTCTAATGTACCTCGTGGCCTCTGGCATTTCAAGCTCGCATTTATTACCTACTCATTTAATACCTCCAAGTCACCTGAGAGGAATGCTGAACCCCTTATGCTTGGACAACATGGCTCACATAGTTGATCAACCAAAGGAACAACAACTACGATTTCAGTTTATATTATGGGCATATGATACAGAGAAGTATTTCTAATAAATGCAAAATTGTTGGAATTTTTGGGGGGTTTTTGGAAGTGCAACAGTTAATGATAGAGGGCCTACTCTCGATGACTAAACAATTTCCAAAAATAGCTAAATGTCATGTCAAAAAAAACATTAACTTGATGGACAACCTTTTTCGCCGACTTGCTTAATAGTTGAAGGATATTTCATCATCAGCATCATCAAATGTCATTCCAACAGTAATTAATTTAAAGAGAAATGCCATTTTTCTGAGTCAGTTTTTTGGAAACGTTGAAAAGTTATTTAAATAATGAAAAAAATAAGTTTGTGACCCTCCATAAATGGGTTACCTAAACGAATTTCGTTCATGACTTCAAGTGCAATAATCTTGGAAGTGGAAGGGTGAATACATTTTATTTTGATTTATTAAAACAACCAAAATCCTAATAATTTGAACTTTTATTAAATTGCTTTAAATTAAAATTAAATTAAAATTTAAAAAATCTCAAATGAAAAATTCAGGTATAGTAATGCTGATGAACTTACGCCTTAATTTGCAATTTCATTGGTTCTTTCCCCTTAGATGACAAAGTAAAATTAGATAAATTATGAATAAAGCACCAAGAATTATCCTGTGTCACATACGCAATTGGAAAAGCTTGCCCTTTGAACGATTTAAGATGTTGTAATTTCTCTATCGATCTAAAGTTAAAATGATATTGACAGGCAATTTTCACTAAAATAATTGTTTAAACACAAAATATTATCCATACTATCCCATCAGTAAAAATATTCCGATCCTGAGTGATATGCGACATTCAATATCTGTATTACTTAATGCAGAGATCAATTGTAGGTCATATGCTTTGCATAATCGATTTAACTTAAATTGGCGTAAAAAAATTAATACCAAAGTTTCATTAAACTTTAGACGCTTATTTATGTTCTGAATTACTATACCTCGACATTTATATTCATCTAGAACTGCAAAATGTTAAAATTTTAGTGAAACATGCATCAAGTTTGTTGGTATGACGAATTAAACAATCGAACCGCATGTTAAATACTTCTTTAAATCCAAGAACAGGAGACTTAACAATTTATAAATACTTATTCCTAATATTTGTTAAAATGTATTGAGACGCATGATCGCTGATGGTTTAATTTTGCATTAAAGCCAACCATAACGATAATTTCGTGTTATTATTGAATTCCAAATTTAGACCTATTTTGGGAAGCTAATATAGCCATAAAACAAACAAGTTCACTTCCACGAAGGTTTTCTGTATTTTATTATGATTTTTCAGCCCTTGATTATGCAGACATTTTGTATGCTATTCCATACGCCAGAAAATATTAAATAATGTAAACAAACATTGCATGAAATCACACAGAGATCATGTCCTTAAAATGGAACGAATAGTAGGGCGTTTATTGGAACAAAGTTCAAACCCCCCCCCCCCCCCCAACCTTTCCACTTAAAAAAGTGGATCAAGATATGGTGGTTGTCAAACTAGAAGGCTCCCCGGGGCATTGATATAAAAGCAATAAATGATATCCAAAAATACATTCCAAGTGTAAAGTCAGTGCTTTGATTTGAAAGTATTGATTAAATTTTTATTCTTGTCCTTTTACGTGATAAATCCGAATTTATCCCTAAATTTTTGATCGTTACAATTATCAGACCTTCTGCTTTGTCAATGATTTTAATTTTTTTTGAATTTTTGGAACTGTGTTTGTTACCTGCACAAAATGTGAGCGCAATTCCACTCCTTCATTCCATACTGTGTCTATTTTTAGCGACTATATCGCCCCTTTTTGGTTTTTAC